CCGCCTCTGCTTCCAGTGCTGGGGTTAAAGGTGTAGACAACCACGCTTGGCTAGATTTTATCTTTATTTTATGTGAGCAAGTGTTCATTTGTATACATGTATGTATGTGCTTCACATGCAAGCTGTGCTTCATAGAGGCCAGAAGAAGGTGTCGGTTCCCTTAGATCTGGAGTTACCATGGTGTGAGCCACCATGTTGGTTACTGGGAACTGAATCTGGGTCCTCTGCAAGAGCAGCAAAAGTAATTGCTGAGCCTTCTCGCAACCCTTGTGCTTCTTTATTTTTAAAAAGATTTATTTTTCTTATTTTAAAATTGTGTGTGTGTGCGTGTGTGCATGTGTGTGTGTGTGTGTGTGTGTATGGGGGGAGGACTGTGCTCATGTGGGTGCAGAGTCCACAGAGGCCAGAAGAGACGAGGGTGTCAGATCCCCTGGAGCTGGAGTTCCAGGCAGCTGTGAGTCCCAGCATCTGAACTCGGGTCCTCTGCAAGGGCAGCATAAGCTCTTAAGCACTGAGCCATCCCTCCAGCCCGCCACAAGCCATCTTTAAAGCGGGGCAGGGTAGCGCACACCTGTGATCCCATCTTCTAAGGGAGACTTATTTTGGAGTTGCTGAGGATGTGCGCAGGCCTGACCTGTTTTAGTTTTACTCCTTGTTACTGTCCTTGAACAGTAATGTCACTGCTTGTGCCCAGGCGGCAAGTCCATGATTTCATCCATCCACACTAGCTCACAGGCCCTTGGACCCCTTAGTTGTGTTATGTTGTTGTTGTTTATTTAACTAATTAACGTATCTTGTGTCTGTGTGAGGACAGGTACGCCTGTGCCACACTGTGCATGAGGTCAGAAGGCATTTCCGGGAGTCTGTTCTCTCCTTCTACCTTGTTGAATCAGGGTCTCTCTTGTTTCTGTGGCTCTGCTTCTGGCTCCTGTGACTTTCCAAATGATCCCCGTGTTCACCTCCCATCTCGCAGTGTGAGTGCTGGCCGGGAGTGCAGGCGCACACCACCGCTTTCAGCTTCTGCTGTGGGTTCCAGGGATTGATCTTGGAGCATCAGCAGCTAACCCTCTCGCCTACTGAGCCGTCTTCCTGCCCTCCACCCCTTGACTGTAAAAAGTATCATCGCCTCCCCATTCACCTGTGGGCCACAGACACAGAGCAGCAGCCCCTGGGAATTTGCTGTGCACAGAGTTTCCCAGGTGTCCACTCCTAGCAAGCTGACTCAGGACCTTGGGGTGGGGCACAGCACTGCTCCTGAAAACCCTGCAGGGCTCCCAAACACTCTGGAGTCTGGAAGCTCTGGGCCTGGCTCCCACCAGTTTTTCTGCTGTTTTTGAAGCTCAGCTCCCTTGTTCTCAGTTCTTCCAGTTCATTTACACGAACTCCATCCCCCCAGTAACTCACCAGCTGGATGACCCGGTCCTTTCCTGACACAGCTCAGCACTCCTGCAGTTCCTTCCCCACTCCCCATGTGACTCCCCGTACTGCCCCGTAGGGTCCCCACTGAAGCTGTCTCCCCACTGAAGCTGTCGCTGAGACCCGCCTGAGAAGAGGGGGAGGTCCCGATGCTGCCTGCATCCTGTCACCCTATGCATGGTGCCTGATGAAGTCACACTCCCTCAAGTGCCCTACCCCCTCCACTCATCCTCAGAGAGCCTAGCCCATCTGCATTTGGTGTCTGTGGAGGAAACCGAGGAAGAGGACAGCGCTGGAGTGCACCAAGTGCCCTGGTGTGGATGGGGAGCTGTAGGGAGATCAGAGCAAGGGAGATCAGAGCAAGGGAGCAAGGGTGTGACGCATTCTTTAGGCCGCACAGCTCTGGGAGTTGGGAGTGGTGGCTCATGCCACCCTTTGGAGCCTTAGGCAGGAGGGTTGGGAGTTCCGGGCCAGCATGGGCTACATAGGAAGGCTTTGTCTCAAAGGAAAAAGAAATCAACAGGGGTGGAGAGGTGGCTTAGTGGTTAAGAACACTTGCTGCTCTTATAGGGGATCCTGCTTTAGTTTCTGGCACCCACATGGTGACTCACGTCCACCTATGATTCCAGCTCCCGGAACTGGCCTCCTTGAGCACTACATGCCTCTGTGTGTGTGTGTGTGTGTGTGTGTGTGTGTGTGTGTGTGTGTGTGTAGGCAAACACTTATACACATAAAAGATAACCCTTCAAAAATTAATTACAAGGAGAAACAAATTGTATGTGGGCCTCTTGGCACAGAGACCTATAATCCCAGCCACTTAGGATGCAGGCACAGAAAAGTATACGCTCAAGGCCTTAGGGAGACACCGTGTGTGTGTGTGTGTGTGTGTGTGTGTGTGTGTGTGTGTGTGTGAGAGAGAGAGAGAGAGAGAGAGAGAGAGAGAGAGTAGTAAGAGCAGTAAGCTCTTGCTTAGTATGTATGACGTCCTGGGTTCAATCCCCAGTATCCAATGGGAAGGGAGAAGAAAAATAAGTTCTATGCATGAAACACGACTTGATGTAGTCTTTGGCCAAGGGACTTCAAATTGGTTGGGTTTTCATGTGGGCCAGTTGTCCGTGACCTGTCCTATAAATACCGCTGATCTACTGAGGTGCAAATATATCACTTTAAAGAGGATTAAGAATCCATAGCAGGGAAGGATAGCTTTGAAGGGAGTAACAATAGTAAGGATTTAAAGAGGGCAGGGTTAAGCATGGGGCAGGCATTTGCAGGGAACCCTGGGGACTGCAGGCAGCCAGAGACACTGAGTCCGCTGACACCCTCCACCCCGCCCCGCCCCGCCCCGCCCTAACAGGAGCCAGAACCATGGTGTATCTGCTCCCTTTGCTTACATTATTTATTCCTTAGGCCCCTCCCCCAGTCAGCCTTTCAGTGAGGAGAGGAACTGTGGGACGGAACTGGAAATGAGCTTTGACTATGCTGGAATCAGCGGACATTTGATTCTTCAAAGTCTTTTCAAAAATAAAATTAGACTTCACATGTGATATGTGCATGCACACGCATGCACTGCATCTGTGCGGAGGAGAGAAGGGATTGGGAAGTTGAGTCTCTCTTTTTGCCATGGGGGTCTGCAGGAATCAAGCTCAGACTATTGCGCTTGGCTGCACCTTCGGGCCCAGCTGCACCTTCGGGCCCAGCTGAGTAGGGGCTGTCTTACTTTATTTTTAAGACAAGGTCGTGCTATGTAGCTGAAGCTGTTTAGTGTGTGTGTGTGTGTGTGTGTGTGTGTGTGTGTGTGTGTGTACACAACTGCACGTGTGGAGGTCAGAGGACAACTTTCTGGAGTTGGTTCTCTCCTTTCACCATGCCAGTTCCAGGAGCCAAACTCCAGTTGTCAGGCTGAAGTGGCAAGAGCCTTTACCGCTGGCATACATCTCCATGCCCACAGCCTCTTTCCTTTTTCTCTCTCTCTTCCTCAGTTGCTCTCCCATTTCATGTGCACGTTTATATGTATGTGAGAACATATGTATGAGTATGTGTGCACAAGGGTGTGCACGTATGTGGAAGCCAGAGGTTTACATGGGAAATCATCCTTGTCTGCCATTGGGCATGGTCTCTTAGAGCTCACTGACTTGGCTCTTCTCGCCAGGCAGCTTGTAGGGGGATCTGGTGCCCTTCTGGGGCTGAATTGCAGGTAGGTCACCATGCCAGCCTGGCATTTGTGCGTTCTCATGTTTACATGGTAAGCACTTAACCACTGGGCCCTCTCTCTAGCCCCTCTACCTTAGTTTTCAAGACAGGCTCTCACTGAGCCTGGAATTTGCCAGTTCAGCTAGACTGGTTTACAGCAAGTCCTAGGGACCCTCCTGTCCCGTTTCCACAGTGCTGGGATTACAGAACTTCACCATGCCCAGCTTTTTGATGTGGGTTCTGGGAGATTGCTGTCAGCTGTATCTTCAGAGTGAGATTTTAAGATTTTTTTACTTAGTGTGTTTGAGCACATGTATGCACAGGTCAGAGAACAACTTCCGGGCAGATCTCTCCTGGGTGGGTTCCGGGAATGAACTTCGGTGTTGGCTCTGAAGCGGTCCTACCCAGTCCTCATCTTGCCAGTTCAAGGTCTGACTGTGTCTGACTAAATTTAGTAACTTGGTTTGTGTATCATCTGAAAACAGCTGGAGATGAAGGTCTGCCCAGAGCGGCTCCTGAGGAGCAGGCCTTGGGCGAGCATTTAGCCTATTGTTTTCATTGTCTGTAAAAGAGGAAGCCCCAGAATCTTGTATGTGGGTCCAGATTTCTTTTTACTACCTCTTTTCGATAAGTGCGTAGCCCGCTGCTCTGAGACCAGCACTAGGACTGCGCCTGCCTGAGTAGCTACCTCACTCCTGATATTAGGTCAGGCAATTCAGTGTAGGGGAACAGAGTGAAGGAAACCACACAAGACATCGGCCTCCTTATGCTTTAAAAGCGTTCTCCTGGGCTGCCATCCCGCCACTCTTTACTTACCAAGCCAAAAAGCACGTTTCAGCCCAGTGTAGTCTGCCTCACTCTGGGCTTTACAAGCAATTGAATCTCACAAATAAGCAGGTATCTTCAAATGACGCAAACAAGAATACAGATCAGCAAGAAACCAAAGAAAAACACTCACTTGTGCCTAGCAGTACTTGCAAGCCACTGGTTGGATTTAGTCCTTGGTACCCTCCAGTCCTCAGGGCAAAGCTGCATGGGAGCTGGGTGAATGTGGCCGTGCGCAGCGGCTCTGAAGTCCCTGTGTCGTCAGGTGACTGATTGACAGCCACCCCCAGGCAGCACACGCGGGACTGCACAGAGGAAAACCGCTAACCCCTCAGCTGTCAATTAACCACGGGTTGTTTTGGAAACTTCAAAATAAAACTGAAAATGTATCACTCATTTTCTGTTGAATGAACAAGTAAACATTTAAAATTAGGACAAACTTGCCAGGCATGGTGGCACATGCCTCTAATCCCAGCATTTAGGAGGCAGAGGCAGGAAGATCTCTGTTGAGTTTGAGAAATAAAGACAAAATAAAATCAGCACAATTAGTCAGTGCAGCCACGCAAGTGTTTAAATCTGGATTTTTTATTTTAGGTCATAGAGAGGTCGTTAACGCTTGTTCCCACCAGAGCACAAGCAGCGGCAGTAAAAAAGGACAGCCACAGCGGTTCTTCTGAGTCCAGGCAGCAGCTAAGGACTCAGCAGCAAGGTCAGGCGGGTGTGGCTAGCCCTCAGCTGGAGCAGTCTCCCCGTAAGCCACAGCAGGCCTGCTCAGTCCGGATCCAGGCACAGCGGCATCTCCGAGGCTAGGATGTTCTTTCTTCTTTCTCCTCGGTGAGTGTTTCCCACATTGGCTCCTTGATGTGTTCTGGCAACTGCTGTATCTGTGTCTAAAACCAGAAACAAACCAAACTGGATGCAGTGTGGAATTTGAAATGAACCCGATCTCCTGACCTGTCATGTTTCCTGCTTCTTGTTGATCTCCTTGTCTTCAGGAGAGAAGGGAGCATAAGGCGTGTGCAGGAGCTGTCTGATCCTAAGTGACCTCCGAGGGGGGCTGTCCTGTGGTCCCAAGTCTAAGCAACTATTAGGGAGACTTCCAAGGTGACTCAATGATGACTTGGGTAGTGGTGGGGTGGGCCTAACGCTGTGCCCAGTGTGCCACAGGCCCTCACCCCCACAGCTAGGAAAAGGCTATATGAAAAACAACCCAGCCTGCCCTCTTGAGTCAGGAATTCAAGTCATACCTTTGTTACCTCCATGGCAACCCCTTCGGGTAAGTTTCGCTGGATATATTCCAAGTAGACGTTGGCTGTGCATCCGGTCAAGTGTTTTAACTAAAACGGAAAAATGAAGATGTCCTGTCATAATGTCAGACCACAGATCTTTGTGGGTCTTGTCCATTGCCACTCCCACCATGTTCCCTTCAGTGATGAAGTCTGTTCTAAGAAATCTTACACGAATGTCATTTTTAGACTATCTAGGAAGGCTGGAGGGCTGGCTCAGTGGTTACGAGCCCTGGATACTCTTGCAGAGGACTCATATCCAGCTCCCAGCAGCCACACAACCTTCACAACCATCTGTAACTCCAGCTCCAGGGGCTCCAATTCCACCTCTGCTCGCTGTAGGCACACATGTGACACAGACACAGGCAGACACTCACACACAAAGCATTAATAAAGCTAAAGCTTTCTGAAAACCATGTAGGGCCCAACAAAATGGCTTAGTGGTAACAGCACTGCCCTCTATGCCTGATAATCTGAGTATATCCCTGGCACTCCTGTGGTCAAAGGAGAGAACTGGCCACCATAAGCTGTCCTCTGACCGCCACACATGAGTAGTAGAAGCATGTGCCCTATCCCCATAAATAAATGTTTTTGCTGGTTTTTATTTTTCAAGACAGGGTTTCTCTGTGTAGACTTGGCTGTCCTGGGACTCATAGACCAGGCTGGCCTTGAACTCAGAGATGCACCTGCCTTGCCTCACCAGGCTGCAATTAAAGGTGTGTACCACCACCCTGACCAAAAACATAAATGTTAAAAAAAAAAAAGTATAGATCCCCTGACTGCACTTGATGAAGGCGTCAGGTTCAGCCCCGTGTCCTGTGTCTGCACAGCTTCCCCACACACGTTTGTCTGAGGGACTCCAAGCGAGCTACAAAAGCCTCACTGCACGTCCCACCCATCTTATCAAACAGGCCCCATTATTATCCCCATTTTATAAAGGACGAGTCAGGCGCCAAGACCTGAACTGCAGTGCTGTCAGTCTGACTCCAGAGCACACACTCGGATCGTGACATCGCTGACCAGTGGATGCACGAACAAAGAACAGCCAATATTTGAAAAGCCCCTGTTGAGGATCACAGCCAGAGAGGTCCAGTCAGCCTGTGGGAAGAGCTACTGTCTGCTCTCCTTTAAAATGTGGTATGCGGCTGGGCGGTGGTGGCGCACACCTTTAATCCCAGCACTCGGGAGGCAGAGGCAGGTGGATCTCGATGAGTTCCTGGCCAGCCTGGTCTACAAGAGCTAGTTCCAGGACAGGCTCCAAAGCTACAGAGAAACCCTGTCTTAAAAAAAACCAACCAGCCAAACAAACAAAATAAAATGTGGTATGCATGTGGGTATTTTGTCTGCATGTATGTCTGTGTACCATGAACACGTGCTGGTGTTCTCGGAAGCCAGAGAGGACACTGGAGTTACAGATGATGGTTGAGAGCCACAGTGTGGATGCTGGGAATTGGACTTAGGTCTTCTAACCATTGAGCCATCTCTCCAGTTCGTTTTGCTTTTTGAGACAGGGTCACTATATGCAGCAGTGCAGCCTCCAAGCTTGATTTGGCCCTTCCATCCCTGTCTTACAGTGCTGGGAATGCAAGTGTACTCTACCACAGCTGGACAGAATTGTATAACATCTACTTCTATTATGCTTTTTGCTGTTTGAAATGGTCTCCTGTAGTCCAGACTACTATTGAATGTACTGCACACCCAAGGATGATCCTGAATTCCTGATCCTCCTGCCTCCACCTCCTAACTGCTGGGATTACAGGTGTGAGCCTCTGGGCTTGTTTGGGTGAACTGTATAAGACAGTAACTTTTGAAATGTGAGCAAAATTATTTCAGTGCTGTTTTGTTGTCTTTACATGCTGAGCCGTCGCCAGTCCTGCTCTTCTTTTCAAGTCCACACCACTCTGAAGAATGGCCTGAAGTCTGCTTCTCTCTTAGGACAGCTTTCATGGCTGAAAGGAAGCTGAGTGAAGCCATGCTACACGCTAACAAAAAGTTTCGGGTGTGGCTGAAGGAAACCCACCTCTAAGTGTCTGTAGAGCGTCCTCATCTCGTACTGGACCCTGTGCTTCTTGAAGATGTGCACTGACTTGAGAAGAGTGAGGCGCTCTATCTTCCTTGGTGGCTCATGTCTGAAATGAAGCTCAGTGAGTCACTGGTATCAAAGCACATTCTCCAGTCTGCAGCTCAGACTCGCTCGGTTATGGGCACTAACTGCCACTCACTGACTTCATCTGTCAGGCCTCATCTGTAACAGCTGTTTTCACACATCTCAGGCCAAAACAAACACCGCAGATAACAGCAGGAACCTTCCCCACCCCAATCAAGCAGCGCCACGCAAGAATGAGCACATACGCACTCATGCCATCTGGTGGCTCCTGAGTCCCTCCCTCATGTACCAAGTATGCCAGTTTTGAAGAGTGGCAACAGGTGCTGGACACAACTGTCATGTCTGCTGTGTTAGGATCATTAATGACACGGACAATCACACAACAGTCTGCTCTGGGAACAATTTAGTCTTCTGTTTTTGCTGCAAGGATAGGCTGGCAAAGCCTCAGACGAGCCCTGTTCAACACCAGATGCCAAGAGGTACCAAGAGGCAGTTACCCTGCAGGGACTTCAAGGCCTTGACACTCATCTTCCTTGCAGCTCCCAGGGAAGTGGTGTTGCTCAGGGTGGTTGCACATAAGGGAGGTGTCAGCCAAAGAGTCTAAGCAGAGCACTGCCTCAGAGCATCCCTCTCCTGAAGATCCCACACAGAAGACTTCTGGGCTTGCTCACATCAGTGCAATTTCTAGAAACGGTTTAATTCTCCTGCTCACTCATTCTAGTACTTAACAATTCCAGCAGACACAAAGTGACAATACTTCTCAGGGTAACACAGGACAGCCTTCAACTTCACCCGCAAACTTATCCTGTTTTACAAGCTCAGACCTACTGGGATCACGGTTAGATCCCTGGCTAATCACACGACAGCAGACAAGTCAGGTCAGGAAAGGTCATACTCACACGTTAATGGAAATGCCAAGTTCCTTAGCAGCGAGCACGGCAAAATACTCGTAACTGTCTAACACAGCCTTGTCATGGGCTTTCACCAAAATGGACACGCGTTTGTACAATGTGTCCGGCTCATCAGAAACGGTTATCTAAAATAAAAAGTTCTAGTTTTGGTCCTTGTGATATTCATTAACAGCAAATTTAACGTAATATTGGTTGAACGACTTCAGAGGTTACTAATAAATGAGAAAAATGACAAGTAATGTTTTAAAACTACTAGTTTAGCTACTTCCAATGTCACACAGATCTGCAAAATGCCCTTCCAAATCTGTCAAATCCACTGAAGAGCAAACAGCCTTCAAGATTACTACAAAACCACCATGAATGTTCCAAATTCGTTGTTAACAAGCCCCAGATTTCTTGTGAGAAAGGATTCAGGGTCTGCTATCGGGACTGGAGAGCTGTCCACTGGCAGCGGGACAATGAGAGAACGCTAAGATTTCCCAGCTCTTCAGTGTCCTCGTGTTTAAGGTACGGCATTGACATCTGTACTAAAACTCACGGCATTTCGGCAAGGAAGAGCTACGAAGACACAAATTAAAGTGCTTATAAATCGTTAAACACTGTTCCACAACTGCTAACTCTGTGGTTGCTATACAGCTAGTTCCAGTCATCCTTTTTCATTAGGGTTATTCATGTGCAGCTGGCCTGCTTTCACACAGAAATTACTCATGACTAATTAAAATGTTATGACACTGGCTGGACCTTCCCACTAATACCTAAAGACCTTAGAAATAATGGGCTTGACATTTCTGACTTCTTCCAAGAGGTGAATTATCTTCATTTCCTTCAGTCACTAAACTGGTAAATGGTGTTACTAATCCAGTGAGTCAGGGTTAAATTACTTCACCCCGAAAAGAGAGCTACTTAAAACAGGAAGGCAGACATCTATTCTCAATTATTCCAAATAAGATGGTTAGTAAAACAGAATTAACTGATCTTAATTAAAACTGGGGATGTAGAGGGGGTCTACAGTCCTAAAAGGTGTTGTTTGATTCCTGTAGGGCTTATGTATTATGTATTGTTAGGTTTTATGTATTTATTTAAATTTTTGTGGCAGTGGGGAGTTCTAGGCAAGAACTCTCTTAATGAGCTTGCCTCAAGCTCCTCTACTGGCTTTTAAAGCTATTGTGAATTTGAAACAAATCTCGAAAGACTTCTGGAGATGTTTTGTGAGATCACTGTCAATACAGCTTGGAAGAGTTAAGACATCTAACATTACAAGGTCTGATTTCTCAGAGGTCCTCAAGCGGTCAGGACAAGTAGTAAAGAGACAGTGTGTCTGTGTGTGGTCTGTGCGCACACTCCAGCACCACGGCATGCATATGGAGGCTGTCTAAGGATAACACTTCTGCTCCTACTATGTTGGTTCTGGGAAATGAACTTGGGTCAGGCTGATGGCAAGTGCCCCTAACCATTGGGCCACCTTCCCGGTCTTTAATGTAATAGAAGAAAATGTTCTAAGTGCATTGACTTGTCTGTGTGCATGCCATGGCACATACATGGAGGTCAAAGGACAACTGTGGGCCCTGGGACTGCACTCAGGATGTCAGGCTTAGTGGTAATTACCTTACTCACCGAGTCATCTCATGGCTGGACCATGTATTTTGAAACAGGGCCTCTCACTGACCCTGGAGCTCCGACTGGACTAGACTAGCAGGCCAGCAGGCCCCAGGGGACTCCTTGTCTAGTTCCCCTCAGCACTGGGGTCCCAGTATGTGCTGCGCCCCCAGCTTTCCAAGTGTATGGCGGGGACCTGAACTTGGTTCTCAGGCCAGCATGGTGAACAGTGCCCCAGTACTCTGCCCCCTCGTACATACAGGCATGGCCTGGAGCATCTGAGCTGGAGACCAGCGTTTAGAACGTTTTCCTTCTTTCAAAGACTTATTTACCTTTTTATGTATATTGGGGTTTTGTTTGCATGGAAGTCTATGTGAGGATGCCAGATCCCCTGGAACTGGAGTTGCAGTCAGTTGTGAGCTGCCATACTGTGGAATAATCCTTTTGTACACTGTAAAGATTTATCACTCAAATTGGTTTACTAAAAATCTGATTGGATGATAGCCAGGCAGGAAGAATAGATGGGACGACCAAAGGAAGGATGTTGAAAAGAAGGGCAGAGTCAGAGGAGTCACCAGCTAGATGGAAAATGAGTCAGACAAACAAAATGGGATAGAGGTAAAAGCCATGAAACTCAGGGTAGCATATAGATCAATAGAAATGGGTTAAGTTGTAAGAGCTAATTAGTAATAAGCCTGAGCAATCAGCCAAACATTTGTAACTAATATTGAGTCTCCATGTTGGTTATTTGGAAATTGGCAGGTGGGACAGAAACTTCTGTCCACACTGCCACGTGGGTGCTGGGAATTGAACCTGGGCCTCTGGAAGAGCAGTCGGTGCTCTTCACTGCTGAGTCATCTCTCCAGTCCCAATATTTCTACTATTTATGAAGTGAATAAAGAAAAAGGAACAATCGCATACTATGGATGGCATGACTCTATGTGTCCAAGTAAAATACATATATGGACTCACACCAAACTAAAAAGAGATTGTTTTTTGAAGGTAGAAATAGAGGGATTGGAATTGTTAGAACTTTAGAAAACAGTCCTGATGGGCTGTGGTGGTGCACACCTTTAATTCCAGCACTCAGGGGGCAGAGGCAGGCCAGCCTGGTCTATACAGTGAGTTCCAGGACAGCCAGGGCTACACAGAAAAACCCTGCCTTGAAAAAAATAACAAAGACAAAAAGAAAAAAAAAATCCCAGGTAAAGAGTTAGGAGTAGCACCACACCAGTAACCTTGACACTTAATAGCAGGCAGGAGGATTAGGAGTTCAAGGTTAGCCTGGGCTAGACAGCGTCTAGTCTTAAACTCTATAAGGTCACATAGCTGTGTCAATGTCAACAGAGCACTGTGCACACCCAGGCTCAATATTCAAAGAAAAGACCCGAACGCTGCAGAAAGATTATTTTTCTGTAACATCAAGGATTCAGCATCACTAATTATCCTGAACTATGCTGAGCTAAGAGCAAGAGACTGCTCATTACCAGTTATCTGGGATAAATACATTCCTTTAGGACTTACTTTGATAGCATGAAAAATAGCACAGGCGCTCCCAAGGACATCAGACAGCCTGCAGTGTGCATTTGCCAGTATTCTAGGATAAAGAAGTGCAGGTGTTTGGGAAATAGGCCGGAATGAAATAATCAGGAGAAAAAAAAAAAAATGAAACTGTTAATGTAATTCCTTTTGCTGCTGCTGTTTTGTGAGATGGGTTACATGTAGGCCAGCTAGACCTTGACCATGCTATGTGACTGAGGATAGCTTACCTCTACCTCCTAAGTGCCAGGGCCAGAGGTCTATGCTGCCATGCCCTGCCTAATGGGGGTACCTACCATAGGTTTGGTCAAATCCTTTGGAACATCCATGTGCAGGTTTGACCATGGTGCCCACTTCTTACTGGTGCTGCTGTGTGGGGAAGAGAGGCTCAATTAGCATGGAGCCCATCTTGTAGGACAATTAAGCACACTTGGTGGCATACTTACAGCAGGAGGCCACCAGTTTGGGCTGTGCTGCTCTTGGGACCACTCACAGACAAAGTTCCCAGTTCCTAAGAAGAACGGAGGGCAGGTGTTAGAAACAAAGTCAGTTCCCAGAGAACTGGTGCTTTCCACTCAGACTCAGAAGGAAGGGTCTCGATGTTTCAGAGGAAGAGACTGGGCATGAAAACGACCAAATTAGATTTCTTCAGAAGCAAAGCTCTTACTGCTCTTAGGACCCTGGTTCAGTTCCAGGGCATCTGGTGCCCTCTGGCCTCCATGGGCAACCACAGCATGTGCACAGAAAACTCAGACAGGAAAACATACAGACAAATGAATTAAAAAAAAAAAAAACACAACTCAGCTAGGCACGGCGGTGTGTGTCTTTGACTGGAGGTGGAGCAGGAAGATCTACGAGTTCAAGGACAGCCCGATCTACAGAGCGACTGTCTCAGAACAAAAATCTCTTTAAAATAACATGTCTGTATAATTTAATCTGTTAACAGCTAGAATAATCTTTGCATGGCTAAAGCACACACCACGCCTATACCCATCGCTACAACAGGCCAATGGGCCCTTACTCAGCACTGCCCAAACCCTTTCAGTGAGCGCCCTCTGGTGGGCTGTTTAGCACTGTTTCTCATCCACTCCATAATCCTTCAAACTCTTAAGACTGAACAGTGCAACCCCAGAGAGCAGCAAACAAACCATCAAAACTACAGCAAAGAGGAAGATGACAGGGAGGTCGAGCAAATCTTAGTTAACCAACCAATGGGTGCGTTTAAAACAGCCTGCACTTGGCACGGTGGTGAGTGGACGAACACCTTTAATCACAGCACTTGGGAGCAAAAGCAGAAATATATGTGAGTTTGGGCTAGCCTGGTCTACACAGCAAGTTCTAGGATAGCCAGGACTACAGAGAGAGACCCTACCTCAAAACAAACAACCAGAACCCAAACCAGCCCGTGCTTTCGTGTCCTTGTCCTTGACTTGTATTGTGAGACCACAGCTTCCCATCTTCCCTGCCCGAGAAGCCGGGAAGAGAACCAGGCACAGGCAGGAGCGTGCCATTCCTCACTACGCTCACACAGTAAGCTCTCCTGCATCGGAGATTCCTCTGAATTACTTGTTTGCTTCTGAGACAGGGTTGCACGCAGCACAACTTGGCCTCTAACTGGGTAGATTTCAATGGCCTTGGGCTCCCAATATATCTGCTTTCACCTCCAAGTGCTGGTGATGAGCCATTGCACCTAGCTGTAATCTTTGAGGGCTTGGGTGTGTGCAGGTCTGGCTGGAAAGAGCTTTCTTATCAGTGCAAAGAGTTCAGTCTTCAGCATCTTATTTTTCTGTAAAGGATGTTTACATCTGTCTGGGTGTGTCTACATGCATGTGTGTGCAGGTGCAGTGTGTGGAGGCTGGAGGAAGTTGCTGGGCATCAGCCTCTATCGTCTCCACCTATTTCTCTCTCCCATAACCAAACTTGAGTTTTCTTGGCTCGTCTGGAGGCCAGAAAGCTTCAGAGGCCCTCCTGGGAACCGTGGTAGCTGGGGTCCTAGGTGAGCATGGAAGCCCTGCGCCTTTGGCTGCCAGGCTGAAGCCTCCTCGGGCTGAAGCCCAGCTCTCACAGCTGCGCAGCGAGACTCTTAGCCACTGGCCCACCTCTCCAGTCCCACAGAACTTTCCCAAGACTGGTGGTTATGAAAGTGTGGCTGGGACCTCGCATGAATTCTTTGCTGGCAGGAGGCCTGAAACCCAAACTGTCCTCTAACACTAACCCCCGACTTGGGGCTTTTCTACTTTCATCTCTCACGGCTGCACGAGTTGTGCTCTATATTAAAGACTGAGGATAAAGCTGCTTCTTCTATGAGGTCAGATACTAAAATATTACTCTTTCTTAAATCTGCTTTGGGAAACCGTCTTTCTGGAGTGTTAACTATTTACCCTGTGGCGACTCCAAGGCTGGAGAGATGGCTCCGCAGTTCGTGCGGAGGACCTGGGTGTCTCTGAAGGCTAAGAATGCAGTTCAGTGGCAGAATCTTTGTGTGGCATGGACAAGGCTCTGGGTTCAATTTCTAGCACTGATTTTTTTTTTCTTTCTTTTTTGAGACACAGCTCATGAAGCCCAGTCTATTTAACTCTGCATGCAGCTGAGATGATTGTGAACTTCTGATCAACCTCAACCACTCACGTGCTGGTGGTACAGGCGTGGGCCACCATTTCCGGTTTCTGTGCTGCTGAGGCACCAAGGGCCGCCTTTAGGCATTTTAGTCAAGCTCTCCAGCAGCTGAGCCACATTCTCAGTCCCTCCCTTTTTCATTTCTTTGTTTATTTTTGGGAGGGGGTGTTTGAACCAGTTCCTGGCTGTCCTGGAACTTGACCTGTAGAATAGGCTGGCCTTGAACTCAGAGAGTTCTGCCCGCCTCTGCCTTCCAAGTGCTGGGATGTTTATTTTTGGAGACAAAGTCCCATTATGCAGGCCAGGCTGGTGGCAATCTTTCTCTTGTTTTCCAAGAGCGGGTATTACAGTGTGAGCCATCACGTCCAGTTCTCAGCTTAATTTTTTTTTTTAAGATTTATTTACTCATCATATATAGTGTTCTACCTGAAGGTCAGAAGAGGGTACCAGATCTCATTACAGATGGTTGTGAGCCATCATGTGGTTGCTGGGAATTGAACTCAGAACCTCTGGAAGAGCAGCCAGTGCTCTTAACCACTGAGCCATCTCTTCAGCCCATCTCAAGCTTAATTTTTGAAACTACTGAACGGTCACTGGTGAGACTCACAAAGGCTGCGAGGCCAAAGTTCCCGAGAAACCCTAGCTAGTTTTTTGTTTGTTTGTTTGTTTTGTTTTAATTATTTTGTGACAGGATCTCAGTTTGTAGCCTGCCTGTACCGCCCCCGCGCTGTGACCGAAGACAGGCGAGCGCCTGGCAGGATTTCCTTCTTCACAGAGCCTCTTGAGGGCGCTCCGACCACAGCCCGCCCTCGGGGCCCCTCGCGTCCATCCCCAGCGCCTCGCGGAGGACACGGCTCGATGCCGGGGTTGCTGAGCCCCGGCCCCCGCTCAGCTCCCTCCATCCCAGGCTGGTTCTGTCTCCTCGGGGCTCAGGGTATTTCCATTTCCCTTCCTGACGCGGAAGGAGGTTTCGGAATATCCTTTTCTCATCGTTCCCGCTCTACCAATCTCCTTGCTGTCTTAGCAATGTGTGCATCCCGAGAACAACCACCCAAGGTAACAGCTCCAGAGGAGGACTCCGAGCCGGCCGGGCAGCGGGTGGCGGCGAGACCCAGCGACTGCGCCTTGGGCCCGCCATTGTCTCCCGCCCACCCTTTACCTGCTGCAGGCGCCTGCACATAGCCACGCACGCCGCGCGCGCCGCCATCTTGGGCCCTGACCTCCCAGGACCGCTTCCGGGGTCACAACGTTGTCCTCGGACCATAGAGTTCAACGAAGAGAGAGAGTGTATCCTCGTGTTCCGGCACTGAAACAACCATAGAGACGTAGCTCTTTGACTTTTTTTTTTAATTTCGACTTTATTATTTATCTACTTATTTATTATTCACGCATTCAATTTAATTTTTTGGATGGGTGCGTCGCTTTTTGTGGTTTGGTTAAACTGGCTTCAGCCCCTATCTAGTTACCAAGTTCTATCTAAATTTTCCTTATCCTAAAATCCTGTTTGTCTTGGGCCGTTCAGTTTGGTTAGAGACAAACACAACGAAAGACCGCTTGGAAAGAAGTTTACTGCTATTACTGAGTCCAAATTCTAACACTTTACCTTATTGCAAAGGCCATTTTGTTCTTAAAGTTTCTTCACACCAACTGGAATGCCTTGCTTGTTAATGGAAATTTCTAAGCTTTGTTTTTTAAAATGCCTTCACCTGCAGTTCAACAGATCAAAAAGTTCTACAGTTAGGAGCGTTGGTTTCTATTCAACTGTATGACTTGATCAAATTTCTTCTTTACTCTGAACCCATTTTTTCATCTGCCAAGTAGAGATGAGAAGATAAATTATACTTGTTGTAGAGAATTAAATAAGATACTGGTATAGTATTTCATACAACACCTGCCACTTAATCAACACCATCACTTGTCAGATAAGATCCCTTCTATGCCCTGGGTCTTAAGAGGTTGTTGATGGGATGAATAAAGATAATTTTTAAGAGAAGGACACAAAGCATCTCAATTAAGCTCCATGCAAAAGTAAAGTTGTGTCTCCCACAAGTAGGTATTGGTTGCCTTATGTGGCAGGCCAGAGAACTAGGCAAAGAGAAGAATGACTTGGTTCAGATGGCACAAACCGATGAAAGATCTAAGGGTTTGACCCACTTTCCTGTTCCCCAGGCTGGCCTCTGTGTGGAGGCCTTCCTGTGCCTCTGTATGAAAACAGAATCTTCATTAGCATCTGGCTGGACTTGGCTATGTCTCCCTGGGCAGGCAACACAGAGGCCTCCTCAGAATTCGACCCTCTGGAAATTGTGACTTTCAGGGTGGTCCCTGTCAGCCCGTGGTCTGTTCTGACAGTGCCCCAGCCTTCCTCTCCCTGTGGACCTAACTTCCTGAGGGCTCTTCAGTGGGTCTCTTGTTCTTCTGGGTGCTCTCAGCTAGGTGACTGAGCTGCACCCTTAATGTTGGTTGACACAGCAGCTTGGAAATGACTTTCACCTAGGCTACCTAATCTCATCCCCACAGAAATAATTGTAGCTTAATTTTTAGGTGGGGAAACTGAGGCTCAGAGATGAGTTGATTGGTCAAGGTCAGATGGTGAGCTGACCCATCCCCACCTTCACAGTCCTAGCTCAAGGCCTGCTCTACCCTGTGCGGTGAGCTGGTTCTGACTATGATGGAGGGAGGACTAAAGGTACCCACCCTCCCCTACACCCCCACTTCACAAAGAAAAGGAAGTTGTGTTTATTGACTTGGTGGCATGATCTGCTAATTGGAACCAGAGAGGTGTGTTCTACTCAGCCTTAGGACTGGGTGTCCTCCAGTTCTCAGGGGCCCTGGCCTTTCTCTCCTTAGGACTGGGTGTCCTCCTCTTCTCAGAGGACCTGACCTTTCTCTCTTTAGGACTGGGTGTCCTCTGGCCTTTCTCTCCTTAGGACTGGGTTCCTCCAGTTCTCAGGGGCCCTGGCCTTTCTCTTGCTAGGTTCTCTCAGCTGAGATCCAGCTCAGTCCTCTGCATGTGGCCATTGCAAGCTGTCTTTGGCTCACCAGATTTGTCCGCGTCTATGCTCAGGTGTGGGACTGACCGCGTTCCCATTAGTGCCCTTCCCTAAGTCATTCCATGTGTCATAAACTACATTTCAGTGTAGTGCCTCAAGGGCAAGTGTGAATGTTGCATAATTAGCCAGGACAAGGTGGGAGTCATCGTGTCTTAATTAGGGTTTCTATTGCTGTGACAAAACACCATGACCAACGAAACGTGGGGAAGAAAGGGTTATTTGGCTTTCCCTTCACAGTCCATCATCAAAGGGAGTCAGGCCAGGAACTTAAGCTGGTCAGGATCGTGGAGGTCGGAGCTGATGCGGCAGTATAACCATGGAGGGGTGCTGCTTACTGGCTTGTTCCTCTTGGCTTGTTCAGCCTGCTTTCTTATAGCACCCAGGGCCACCAGCCCAAGGGTAGTCCCACCCACAATGGGCTGGGTCCTCTCACATCAGTCACTAATTAAGAAAATGCTCTATAGGCTTGCCTGCAGCCCAATATTAGGGAAACATTTTCTTAATTGAGGGTCCCTCTTCTCAGATGACTTTAACTTGTGTCTAGTTGATACAAAACTATCCAGCACACACTATAAAGGAACAAGCCAGGCTGCCAGCAGGAGAGCCGGAATGATCGGGTCAGTCACTTTCATATTCTGTATAAAACACACACTTGTATTGCATGTTGCAAAAGGAAGTTAGCACACAAACGCTATTATTAACACACACACACACACACACACACACACACACACACACTGATCATGATTTGCTTCTTCTGAGCGGACTCTTTCTCCCAGCCCAGATGTCCCTGAAGAGGTTTGATACTGACAGACACTAAGTAGATTCATGGCCCCCCAACATGTCATTTGTTAATTTGTGTGTGTGTGTGTGTGTGTAAGTTAGAGGACAGAAAACTTTTGGAAAGTGGTTCTCTCCTTCCACCATGTGGGTCCTGGGGAGTCGAACTCAGGTCTCCAGGCTTGGCAGCAGACCTGTTGGGTCATCTTGGTGGCCTCTACATTCAGGGTTTTGTGAAGGGCCGCATCCACATGCTCCATTACAAGATGGCGCTGGCATCCGGTTTCACCGCCAGGTGAACACACATGTGCTCGGTAACTTTCCACTGCTGTCCCCGCCTACTCCCGAGGCTTCACCTGGGCTAATGGGCAGCGGGCCAATCCAAGGGTGACACGTCCGAAGCAAGGACTGTTTCCTATATAAAGGAGGGGTTCCCTCATTTAGGGGCCCCCGGCCATGTTAGCTGATGCTCTCTCTCTCAGGACGCATTAAAAGCTTTTCTGCAGAAGAATCCTAGTGTCCCGCGTGGTTCTTGCTGGCGAGACGATAGCGTGGGACAGGGTTTCAAGCAGTGTTTGGGACCAAAGATCCATGGAATGAGGGAGGAGCACACAGAATGAGGGAGGAGCACACGGAATGATAACAAGAGGCATGGACACCTCAGATTTCAGAAATCCAGAGGGGACAGACTGACCTCTCAATGACAGACTGCCTGTGCCCCCCTGTATGATCTGCTGGTAAGAGAGGAGACTTAAGGTCAGTTTTTAGGCTGTTAGTCCACAGTCTCTTCTGCTCAACAGCTTTCTGAACGAAGTGCAGTTTGAAAGATTCAGTTCTTGTCTCTGCTCATTGGTTTCCTTAGGCCCCAAGCAACAGGAGAGTCTGGAAATTCCGGGTATAGACAGGACCCTTGGAGCATGCTGTGTGGGCACCAGCAGCATTCTGAAGCCGGGCAGTTATCACAGCTACCTTCCCTACAGCTGCAACTTTTAAACATCTGACCCAACCGAAAGGAGCAGTTCTAGAGAGTTCCTGCAAGGGCACAAGCAAATCTCATTAAATCATATTTTGACCGTACCAATTGTTCTGTTTTTGAAGAAAGCCCTCTTCATTCTCTTCCTTTATGCGTGCATGCATGTATGTGTGTATACAGCATGTTTGTGTGTATGCACCATGTGTGTGTATATGTGTGTCTTGAGTGTCACATCCTGGAGGTTAGAGTATAACTCCCAGAAGTTATACTCTGAAAGTTCTCTCCTCCCACTCTGTGGGATTCAGGGAACCAGCTCAGGTCATTAGGCCCAGCCTCTTTCTGTCTGCTGAGCCATCTTACCATCTCTTTCTGAGATAGAGGCTTGTGTAGCCCAGGTTGACCTAGAACTTGCTATCTAACCAACGTTGGTCTTGAACTCCTGACCCTCGTGCTTCCACCTCCCAGGCACTGGGATCACAAGCAAGCATCTCCATACCCATCTTTGCCACTCTTGTATAAAGGAAGCAATCTACCCCTCTATGACTTTTGTTGCTGTTGTTTAGAATTATTAATTTTATTTTCTCAGATTTTTTTTTTTTGGTTTTTCGAGACAGGGTTTCTCTGTAGCTTTGGAGCCTGTCCTGGAACTAGCTCTTGTAGACCAGGCTGGCCTCGAACTCCCAAAGATCTGCCTGCCTCTGCCTCCCGAGTGCTGGAATTAAAGGCATGCACCACCACTGCCCGGCTTCCCAGAACATTCTTTTACAGTTCTTTTATGTAGAAATATCTGTGATCCACAGATCACATCTGCTTCTCTTATGGACATATTGTTCATTTTTTTAAAATGCCTTCCTAATTATATTTGATTATAAACCCTTTCGGTTTCCTAGAATATATATCTCAGCTGACTGGCTGTGCCTGGGGAAGATGGACCTTATAGAATTCAGAATTCAGCTTTCATTCTAAAAAGAATGGGTGCTCTTTCTTACACAGAGTGTACCTGGGAGAACAGGGACACTTTACCAGGCAGAGTGCTGGCTAGAAATTACTCTGGAGGTGTATGTGCGCCAGTTCCTGGTGTTAATAATGTCTAAACTTCACTCTTCCAATGGCTAAGTGGACCAGCCCCTCATCTGCTTTTGTTCAGTATTCAGTTCTTCTGAGTGAAGGAATTGGCACGGCCATCTTAGCATTCATGTATTATACAAGTATCTAGTATGGAGTGGCATTTCAATTGCATTTTAATAAATAAAGCCTACCTGAAGATCTGAGAATAAAACAGTCCCACTGGTCAGTCTTACAGACCAGGTTATGGTAACACATACCTTAAATCCAAATAGCCATAATGACACACACCATTAATCCAAGTAGCCACACTAGTTACCATAGAAACTGGGCAGTGCATGCCTTTAATCACGGTGGTGCATGCCTTTAATCCCAGCCCTAGAGACGATTACAAAACGTGAGGAAACATCTCTCAACACAGTCTCATTCTGAGATTCTGAGAGGCAGGATCGCCGTTTCAGACTGAGGTCAAGGTAAGAGCCAGTGGCTGGCTGTTTTGCTTTTCAGATCTTCAGTTTGAACCCCAATTTCTGACCCTGAGTTTTTTATAAATCATGTTTCATTTGGCACCCAACCTTTTGTGGCATGAACTTATGAAAAAGCCATTTGCCTGAGGCTTTTTAGCCACTAACCCAGGCTAGGGCTGGGGTTAGAATTCCAGCTCTAGGAACAGGAAAAAAACTAACGCTTCCAGCTCCCATCTGCCCCAGCTTAGCTTCCATGTAAAGATGGAAAATACACAGAGAATCTGGATACGGTATGTTATTGTGCTGCCTTTGAATTGTGTGACTGCTGGGGAAGGAGCAACAGCTGCTAAAAGACATTTGATTATTAATGCTGCTGGATTAATTCAACCTATAAAATTTGAAAATGCCTTGACTTCAAAATTTAAGTCAAAAGATACGTTACTTTAGAGAAGAAGTTTTACTTTTCTTTCCACAGGAAGAGGCTGTGGATTCAATCTTAGTTAAGAAAAAGAAGGTTTGATCAAGGAAGACCCCCTGAAAAATCTCCAGTGGGAACAGATGACCCAATGTTTCAGAGTACGTTTGTTGCAGTTTCCTCTGAGTTCTACATCCAGAACAGCTTTAAGACTGCTGGCTGAGATGATCTAGCCTCACAGAATAATCCGTAATCCATAATTTTCTTTGGGTCCCTATAAGATTATCAGTGCCTCCAATCAACAGGAAGTAGCCTAGAAAACCATGCCCACATTCCCAAAAAATGGATTATGGATGTTTGTTTTTGTTCAATGTGTTGGTTATAAATTGTTATGAATAATGGTCAGGGATAAAGCTAAACAAAGGAGATTAGATTCAAGGTTCTTGTTTTTTTTTTTTTTTGCCAGGTGGTGGTGGCACACACCTTTAATCCCAGCACTGGGGAGACAGAAGCAGGCCGATCTCTGTGAGTTCAAGGTCAGCCTAGTCTACAGAGCGAGTTCCAGGATGGGCTCCATGACTACTGAGAAACCCTGTCTCAGAAAACCAAAAGAAAAATACAGAAAGAAAGAAAAGGGAAAAAAAAAGTAAAAGAAAAAGGGGGATATAAATATGATAAAATTAAAAGATAGATTATTGAATCTACTTTTTAAAAGCAACTGTTAGTTTTAAATGTTTTACATTGGTTTTACTTTTGTACATTGATACAAATTTGAGATTAATTTTGTTAAAACATATTGTACATACATTTCTAATCTTGTTCAAGGTATTGTACCTATACAACTCATCTAACAATGTAATGCAAATTTCTAGCCCTTGAAAATTATTATTATCAACTGTTTAGGATAATTAAAAAATACAGGTTAGCAGTTGATCACCTAATATAATTGAACTTGAAGTCACAGTAGGTATGCCTTCAAGCTCAAACCAAGATATAATTTATATAGATAGGTCGTCTTCAAACACTTCAGCGATCTACAGAATATGGCATTTAAGATGTTTTAATAACCTAGGTTCTCCTTTTTATGACAATGATTTATGTCTGCTCCTGACAGCACCAATCTACTTCAGAGAAGATAATGGGCACTGAAGAGACTCCACATGGAGTTTACTTTCTTTATGCAAAAGTAAGCAACTGGGCAAGAAAATGTCCCTACCTTGTCTGCTGCATTATGCTGTCCTAATTAGACAAGCAGGACACAAAATATCCTGCTTCACAGAAAAGTGTGTTGAATATGCTTGGCCTGTAGGCCGAAGAAGGATGCCCCAACATTGCAGAGGAACTTTGGGTGACTGTCCAGACAGCCAGTTGTTTCTGTCATTACTCACATATTCAGAAGTCGCTTGCTTGCACTTCCTGCTTAGTTAATACTATTTCCTTCTTGGGTCTCTGAAGGAGTTGAAGATTAGGTAACTATAGTTATAGTTTACTAGACACAGAAAGCAAGTTATGGTAGAAAATAAATTAGGTACAAGACTTTGAACTCACCAATATAGGATAGATATGAAATATTTCCTCTGAATTTATCAAATGCAATGGATTATGCTTTGTTGATTTATTTATTGCCTGTATATATTATATATAGTGATTGTACTTATTATATATAGTTTTATTATGTTAGTTATAGACTTCTTTTTTATTTTAGGCTAAAAGGGGGAAGTGTAGTGGCAGTTCATTTGTATTTTAATAAATAAAGACTGCCTGAAGATCTGAGAATAAAACAGTCCCGCTGGTCAGCCAGTGTTATGGTAACACACACCATAATGTAGCCATAATGACACACACATTTAATCCCAGTAGCCACACCAGTTGCCATAGAAATCAGGCAGTGCATGCCTTTAATCCAGTCCTAGAGAGGATTATAAAATGGGAGGAAACAGCTCTCAACACACTGACTCAGTCTGAGATTCGGAGAGGCAGGATTACCCTTTCAGACTGAGATTGAGGGTAAGAGCCAGTGGCTGACTGTTTTGCTTTTTGGATCTTCAGTTTGAACCCCAATTTCTGACCCTGAGATTTTATTAACCGTGCTTCAGAGTTACTCATGAGGACTGACCAACTGAATCAGTGCAATAGTGGGACTGGAATCTTGGCCCTTAGAAGCCGACTCAGCTTACAACCCTGGCTGTATGTGTATGGCATCTAGATCAGCTGTTTTGTTTTATATAAGATCATCTAAAGGAATGATAAAAATTAAAGTTAAGAGGGCTGGAGAGATGGTTCAGAGGTTAGGAACACTGGCTACTCTTCCAGAGTTCCTGAGTTCAATTCCCAGCAACCACATGGTGGCTCATAACTATCTAAAATGAGATCTGGTGCCCTCTTCTGGCCTGCAGGTGTACATGCAGGCAGAACACTTCATACATAATAAATAAATCTAAAAAAAATAAAGTTAAGAAAGGGGTCTTAGAGTTGGGCAGTAGTGGTACACGCCTTTCATCCCAGCACTTGGGAGGCAGAGACAGGTGGATCTCTGTGAGTTTGAGGCCAGCCTGGTATACAGAGTGAGTTCCAGGACAGGCTCCAAAGCTACACAGAGAAACCCTGTCTTGAAAAACCAAAAGAAAAATAAAAGGGGCAGCGGGGGTGGGGTTGGGAGTCTTAGAAGATCAAGGTGTTGAATGAGAAAGTATCACTTAGGGGAAACTGTATAAACACAGAATTTCCATTTCTTCTCAAGTTTGCTCCTGAAAACTAAAAAATGCAGATAGAATTTTGGAAATTCATATTAAAATGCAAATAAATCAGGGTGGACACTGCTGTTGTTGAGGACTTAGAGTAAGATTTCCTTTCTTGCTTGCTTTTGTGTGTGTGGAGGGGTAGAGGGTCTCACTGTTTAGCCCTGGCTGAAGTGGAGCTCACTATGTTGACCAGGCTGGCCTCAAACTCTCAGAGATCCACCTGCCTCTGCTTTCCAAGTGCTGAGATTAAATCCTTCTTGGGTGTCACAGTTTGGAGAATGCCATGTCTTCAAGTGGTTCATCTATTACCTGAGGAGCCAAGGCTTAAGTTTTCCCCAGGCTGGAGCACTTTACCGAGAATAGTATCGACCAGCAGATCTAAACCCGCTGTCCACAGAGGTCACTGTGAGATAGCG